AAAGGTCCTTCGCAGATGCAGTCCAGCTGGCTTCCACTGCCCAGGTCATCGTCGCTGAGTTGCCAATGCCCCTTCAGATGAAGAAGTCTTAATCCCGGGCAATGTCTATGGATCCAGTTTATTGGACATCGGATGACCGCCGTGACAATTTCAGCTAGCATTCAAGGGTCTTCGCCTCTGTTGACCATAGAAGAGAAAGGGCTGGGGTTCGATTTGCGTTATTCGAACGCATCCGCTGCCACCAATGTAGAATACCCGAGCCCTAATAGGAAAAAGACCGGTACAGCAGAACAGGCTTTATTGACCAATCAGAAGCCAGAGCCACGCGTCAGGCGCCTTTCATCCGAGTCCTCCACGCTGGCCACGTTGCTCATTAAATACTGTATCTCATCCATGTCCTTCTCTGGTTGGCTGCCTTCCTTTCCCGCATGCCATTGGATTGCAGGGAGACACGGGATTAGCTGAGGCCAGGTGGTCCAACATGTCTGCGCCCTAATCCGACGCCACACCACACCACACAGGTGATGCAGTCAACTCCGGCCAAGTGATTTGATTCATGCAATTATTCATTCTACTACAGACAAGTTAGAATGACTACATCATGCACAGAAACCTTAAATAAGTATCTTCAGCCATCTGCTGATGTAAAACAGAAGCTTTTGTCACTAATAGCTTCGAACGACCAACAGATTCTGAAACTTAAGCATTTGGTATGCGTATTTGTATTCATATTTATATCTTGGTAAAGATCTACGCTAAGGACTCGTCAGATTCATTTGCATCTTTCTTATCCCATGGCTCACAACTAGTGAAGAAAATAGAGGATGCACAGCTACAACTTAACGAACTTGAACCAAAAGTTGTCTCCTGCATTCATTCCGGCAGGCAGCTGGCTAACCAACTTATTCCAAATATTATTGAAATGAAATCACTCCATACGTCTCTCAAGGTTGCCGAGCGCGAGGAACTTATTTCACGCTATCGGTAAGATTTATCCCTGCCTTTAATCATTTGTAACTACCATAGTCTTTTACACTCTTCTTACTTTAAGTTCCGAGGTGGACGCAGCCCTTGTTCTCGGCGCTTTCGAAATGGCTTTGTCCTCGTTTTCAAACTTGTCTATCCACCTCGGCACGCACATTTCTTCTATACATCCTCCACCAGCTACCCTACCCACATTTTACCGCAAAATGTTGGACTTTTTCTGTCGGTGAGCTGTCTGCTTAATATTTGTTTTGGTACTCAGGATTTCATCTGAATTCTAGCCACTTAAGTCGCAATTCGATGCTAGTCTCATATGTATACCTCCTTTTAAAGTCCGCCTTTTCCTTTAACGATGCTAATAGTCTAAAGTCATTTTCACATGAAGTAACCTACTATGTTTATGTAACGCTTTGCTATCAGTTAATTGATTTATTAACAACCCTGTGTGTGCTGTATTTTTCTTGCCACAAGAATGCCGATGGTCAACCAATTCTATCTCCGCTTAAAATCAAGAATCTTTTCCCAGAAGCTAGTCTTGCGTAATGCTACCGTAAACACTTTGACTTCCGGGCACATTTGGTCTATTTCACATTAACATCTTCAATTTTTTTCTAGGAAGTTCCAGGAGACGCTTCAACGAATGGATATTCCAAGAACAAAGCCTGCTAGTAACTGGCTGGAAGACGGAATAGGGCGCTTAGGTGATCGTTGTCCCTGGGATGAGGAAACATTGCGTGCCTTCTGTTGTCAATATAAAGCACTCAATTCCATAAAACTTCCGTATCCTTTTTGTTTGTGCTTTTTTTTGAGTCACTGTTACCTATCCTTCCGAAGATAAGTGAGTATACTGTGTGCCTTAAACAGTTTTTATTGAACCCCTTTGTCACTGTTTCCCACCATGACATATTTAAATACCTTGTTTTGGTTGAAATGATGTCATTTATTTTAAACCTTAGGATATGAATGTGGTTATTTTATCTTATTCAACTCTTTCGTCTTACGAATAACACCCCGTGCTCTGTGTGTTGTGCTACGATTCTTCGGTACCAGTCTAACCCAAACAGACACTCAGCCGCTGAGTTTCAGTTTTTTCGTCAATTCAATGGACTTTCCTTAGCTTGTGATTTAGAGAGACGCTTGCCGATACTGATGCTGCTAAACGTGCCCGACTGTCCATACCCATGAGGCTCATCTTGGAGCCACTAGAGAAGCGTTTCCTGTTCAATTTCTACGGCACTCAGTTAACAAATAAACCAGAAAAGGTTTGACCCGTTAATAAGCTTTTTAATTGTTCGCACGTCAATCCCGGTGCTTACATTGTTGTTCTTCTAGCCAGAATGGTACTTTACTGAAGTCCTTACTTGGATTACCATCAATGACCAGTGGCTAACTTGGATGCAAGATGAACAGCTTAAGGATGTTGAATTCTCTTCTACTCTAAGGGTACGTTAACGCCTTACTTAGCACCCCGGCTTTTACGTTATTTGGCACGTAATGACCAAGCGCTCAATTTCGTTACTTATTTTCATATGTCAAGTTTTAATCGAAACTGGCCTCTCGTGTAATCCGCGGGGTTGCAGAAACAGCATGCGTTTTTTTTTGAAATGTGTTGACTGGTCTGAAATATTTGTGCGCGTCCATTCCCCGTCTTTCTTTTAAGGTGGAGTTCATGCAAGGTCTTATAAGCTTTGTAGTGGACAAGATTTCCTACGATCTCGGCCTGCTCTCCTCTCCACCTAAACCTCGGTGCGCAGTTCGTCTCCAAGGTAACTAACAACTTAGTCATATTCAAATAGAAGCTTTTCGTACAACCGTATCTTACATTTGTATCCCCTGAGGCAAAAATTGAAAGTATGCTGGAATGTACTTACCCACTGCACCATGTGTTCCAACTTTCAGTCGATTTTTCCTTATCTTCGTTCAGTAAACTCCGCCATTTTGATTGCTACATTTTGAAGCGATTCCTCAATTAATCGGTATTACACTTTTAGGCGAAGAGGCTGTACAGGAGCTGATCGACACTGGTACTAAAAATCAGTTGCTAACCTCGCCACCGGCCTTTTTTGGCCACCTTGCGGACGAAATGCTGGCATTTGAATCGCGGTTAGATGGACTTTACTACCACCCAAATGCCCTACGACCCGCCGACCTTTTCACTCACCGCATAGACGTCCTTCAACACTGGCTTTTTTTGGAAAGCGAAGCTGCCCACAACAAGGTCAAGGAGCTCCTGGCCAAACCCTATGCCTGGAATATGGATAATAAGTAAGGGGATCGCGACTTGTTTACTTGCTCCAGTTTACCGCCGCGTGTACTCTTTGTTGTTTTCTTTGTGAGATACCTGTGCAACGAAAAAAAGAGTAGTCGGCCTCCTCCTGCCGGTGGAATTACCGTGATCCTCATGTTTGGTGGCGATGACTGTCCATTGTTTCACTTCATGCAAAACTTAGGAGAGGCACTCAGCCGCAATTTAAAATAGTTTTATTTGCTGTAGATTAGATTGAACTCTCCAAAAGTCTATGCTGCCAACGATCCAACACGTACGTAGCCGTGAAGCAAGACCTGTTGAATATTTCCTGTATTCGTAATTGTGCCACACGCATGTCAAGAGTTAATTACCGCAAGATGTGGTTCTTTCAGTAATTGGGAGTCAATGATGTTTTGAAGTGTAATCCCTCTCGTAAGGCCCTGAAATATACTAAGCGCTTCTATCCGACTTTGCATGAGAATTCAGTACCAGTATTTAGCAACCATTATTTACTAAATGAACTGATCTAGTTGTTTTTAATACGTGGTCTTATCCCTTCGCTACAATTTTCTTGTTTGTGGGTAGTTATCCCTTATTCAATAATTATACAACTAGTAGCTTCAGAAGTACTCAACATTGTGAATGTATGCTTCCTCGTATATTTGTTCATTTGGATAATGAGACAACTTGGGACGAAAGCGCGGCTAAACTTTGCATATTCGAAAACACTTTAGTTCCGTGTGTAATCAAGGGTATTAAAGGGGGGCTTTCAAGTCGGTTAATGCTTTCCTCAGCCTTGTGGTAATTTAAGGTTCTATTTATATCTCATTCTGATCACGCAGTCCTAATCTACTTACTTAATAGGTGGTTTAGAATTGAAACTTGGGTTCGAGTTTAAGTCTTATTTCCATTTACTCTGTTAAGCTGTCCAAACCTGGATAAGTCATCTGTTGAATCTCGCGGTTAGAATATTTAGTGACTAAACCCTGCCTCTTTTAGCACGGGAATGGGTAGCAGTGTCGGAGTGTGGCCCTTATTGCACGCTAAGTCGGAGTCTTTTTATATCAAAACCAAGTGTTAAGGCTTTGGGTCATGTGAATCGTCCGAACATTTATAGCAGCCCATGCTCATACTTTTGCATCTCATGTTGCCTCCCCGCCTGATTGTAGAGTTCCTCAGTGCGTTGGGGACTTCGTTGCCCTGGTCTATGCCATATCTCGTCGTGGCGCGCAGTTGCAACACAACGCAGCAAAGCCACGGGCATATTTCTTCAAGATCCAGCTTGATCTCATCTTCACCTTCCTTGAGGCGCTAACTCGCCTCCTACCCTGGAACTCCTCATCCACATCCAGAGGCACACGTGACCTCGCTGGCGACGAGTTGGTGGGTTGGACTTCCATCGTGAATGCGATGCATGCCATGGTGGAGACAATGCAGGATTGGACAAATGATCAGGTGGGTGTCCTCTTCTCTCACGCATTTTGCGCCTTCATCTAACGTCATGCACGGTTCTCTTGTCTTTATGTTCGATTTTGTGCTAATGGCAGCCTCGGGTCGGTATTTTAATGTAATCCCTTGTCATTTTCACACTTATTTGTCAATTATACCGTTTACTATCGACCAAGCCATCTTAAATGGTTGAGACGAAGGAACTAAACCCGGCAGCTCCTATCACGGAATTCTTCTATTTACCCCAAATCAGTTTGGACACCAGGTCAAATTCCAACTTTTTTGTATTCACACATATAAGCGAAACTCATGCAACAAAGTATTGGGAACAGTCTGCTTTGGTTGAGCCATATTTCTCCGACAAGTATTTGGTGTTTACCGTCCCTCCAAATCTCTAGTTGCAGAAATCTTTGTGTTGTAGTACTTTGTGGAATTGTGGGAGGATCAAGAATCTCGAAGTCTCCTTTCATGCTCTTGGGATCCCTGGATTGAAGATGAGATGGAGGTAGGCCCTATCTCTTAACTTATTTTTCTTGTTTCCTCATAAGTCGACAGTTGACAGGGTTCGTAAATCCTACGACGCTAGTATCGTCCCCAGGGTCCTCTCAAATACCCCTTTTATGCCTGAAAGTCGCCACCTTTTCTCACCGCCGGTCTTCCAGTTCTTTTCATGTCAAAAGTCCGTTTACTAACCCTGATTAAACGTTTGGCATCAACATCCATTGTTGTGGATATGCTCAAATCTATGCCATATGACTTCACAACTGCCAATCCGAGAGGCCTTTAGTTAGTTGAGGACATGATTTGCATTCATGACTCCCATTGAGCCTAGTGGGAGGCTAATTAGCAGCCCATGCTTTCTTTCGGTGTCGCCACCAGACGAGAAACGAGGCAGCAAGCGGGTGGAAAACCATCTCTCAGCGGCTGAACTCTGCTCTGGAGGAGACCGCGCCACCTCGGGAAGCCAAACTAATCGCCGATTCGCGGATTCAATGTCCCGGCGTCTTTTCCAAGGTAGAAATCATGCTTGTTTGCAGTTGCCTTCGCACTGGTCGTTTTTATACCGACCCCGAAACTGTCTCCTTTCATAACTCTAGTTGTTTCTACCTTTTTTACCTTCGTGCCACTAGAATCACTTGCCACATCAAGTCAAACGCTTACGTTTATTTTTCCCATCATTACCACGCAAAGACGTTTTTGACGTCAAGTTCCTCTAAGTTATTCGTGCAGCGACATAAAACGACCAGAGTAATCCTGATGCTCGTCTCTCTTGAATCTGTTGCACAATTACGTGGCCATGATCGGATTCAACTAGGACTTTGGTTTGGCCACCAACCTCAGTAGGCCGACCAGAATGCCGATCAACTTGGGCTAAAAAATCTCCAAGATATTTATTTTAAACTAATTTAGAAATGTACAGTCTGGTAGACGATCAACACCACAAACTTCAATTGTTTTCTTGCTGCCATCAGTATTTTTCTTCCCCTCAAAGAATTAAAACATGCCATTTATGTCGAAAGTGTTTTTCTTTTAAGGTCTATGTTACATTTGACCCTAAACTAACTACTGTAAGCAAATTTGCTAAGAGCGAAATAACATTGACAGAATTCCTTCAAGACAAACACCGCACTCTCTACTTGTGAATACATGAGACGTTTCCTTTCCAATCCATTTCCTCTTGTTCACAGCGCAAAGAGCATCTCACAGGGGTCCGGTTTGTTAACTTTAGATGTCCGAGTTGTACCGACAAAAAATTGACCAGTGTCTGCAGAAGGTCTCCCAGAGCGTGTTCGCCCACTTGCAGAAGCTTGCACAGGACTACCTCAGTGATGGCCAGCATTGGTCGCAAGTATCTGGCGGTGAGGGGAGCCGTGAAAGTGGCTCTCCTGCGTCTCCCTTTCCGCCATCTGGTCTCTCGGGTCAAGCGACAGAATTATTTGTGCAACTCAGTCATAATCTCTTCGCCACCTCAAAATATCTTCATTCACGCCTCTTTGTCCGTCTCTGGCGTCCCACCCTTCAGCAGCTGAACCAATTCCTCTACAAAAACGTGCGTCCATTGACTAATCATTCCTTCTGTTTGCTTCAGAAACTAAGTGTGTCTAAAAGCTCTGTCCGTTTTTAATCTGAGAAGTTTGATCAGCTGTTTCTGACTGGGCAGATACTGCATATTTACCTGTCTGTATGCTTCCTAGTAGCATTTATTCGTAAAAATCTCGCTTTTATCGACTGAAGATGTAGCTTAGTGATTTGATAGTTGGCAGTCAGCATGTTGGCACAATTACTGCTGTTACTTCTCGGCTGCTAGCTAAGTTAAATGCACCTGCAGTCTCTGTTTGCTCACAGCCTGTATTTTCTTTCTAGCTAATTTTAAGGAATCGCTTCACCCAGGCGGGTGCTAACCAACTCAAGTACGATCTGGAGCATTGTCTTCATGCCCTTCTAGTCCCTTATTCGACCCTCTTGCCTATTGACGACCTGCTGGCCGAGTGTTTAGATGCTTGCCGTCTACTCACCCTCCCACCTGGATCTCTTTGTCTTCTCAAACAGGCACTGCGTGGTGAAGATCTCACAGCAAGCGTTCTTGGCCCACTAGTCGAACTGGGAATTCGACGTCTAACTCCGGAGGATGCGCTTGATGTGATTTCTCGATATATCTCCCCCAGTGGTGCCTTCTAATCTTTCTTCCTCACCACTCTTACTTTCTTGTGTGCAAAGTTTTTCGATAATTTAATAAAGATGCTTTTGTTAATTCAAGTGGAAGGTTTTCTTTCAGATTGTATGTGTTAGACAGTAAGTAGTAACTAACAAACTTAATAAATATTCCATTGCGCTAAAATCCTTTTGTAAGTTCTGATATATTTTAGCATTGCTTGTTAAGTCCTGTCCACAGGAGTCGCTGGTTGACATGTTTTTATTTTATTGCCGTCCAATTTGGATTTAGTTGGTTGTATACTTACTCCACTACAAATATGTTTTTGGTTTGGATTTGCAGTTTGTATCTTTGTTCGGCAAATGTTGGGCCAGTTTTATATCCTTTGAGGGCTTTGTGTTGTGTATACACTGGGGTTCGGAAAGTGATAATAGCTACTAAACTAGATTGTTTTGAACGACATAATAGTTTCGTGACGTCATTTAGGTAAAGGATTTGGCAAGAAACGCTTTAGATCCGAAGGGATACAGTCTGGGTGAATCAAGCCCGGCTGAGTGATTTATCATTTCAGGGGAGATGTGGTTTGTGGGGTCAATTTTTCAATTTTAATCCGAGGTTCCACTGATCAGGTCGTTTTGTTCTAGGATAAAACCGAATACAAAGACTTTGATCAGAATGCTTTGCGTAAACTCGTCAAACAATACCACGATCGCTGCCAGTTAAAGAACGCTAAGTTGGAGGTGAGCAAACGTCGGGCACTCGATGCAATCACCGCACTCACCTCCCAATTCGCTATTACACTCAATTATGGCGTCTCCGAGGTAATTTAAACGTTTTTGGTGCAGTTTATAAGAATTCTTAATTGCTGCTATAATTTAAACCGAACCTTAATTTCTGATATTTTTCAAACTCTTATTATGTGCTTCTGTTCTTTTCATGTCATTCGGTGAACCACCAGTAGAACGTCGACCCTGCGATTGGTGGCATTTTCTTTGACGAAGTAAAAACTGTGATTAAAAAACTATTCTTAAAAAACTCTTTATCGTATAGTGAGTGTTTAGCACGCCGACGTGGTTATGTTAAACTATAGAGTCAATTCGCCTCAAACACATTGTTCTTGACTTAGGCTTACGAAAACCAATGCCGCCTTAACGCTGAGGTGAAGAAACTGCAACGCAATATTCAGAACTTCGTTCGTCAGGTGGATCTTTGGAATAAACAAATTTCAGAAATCAGCCGCGCTATTAAAGAGCTCGGGGACATTGAAACGTGGTCGCAAAAACTGAATGTTGACATGCAGATTATTCAAGAGACTTTGGAATCGGTCTCCAAATAGACTTGTTTATTATGTGCTTGTGTTGTAGCAGTCTTGATAATTTTGATTTTTTAATTGACTAATATGAGCAAATGATCTCTAACTTGCATAATCATATACATGTCTTTTGAATGGCTGGGTAAATTCAACGTGAGGCCGCTCATTACCTGGGAAGGGGTTCTGATAGTGGATTGATTATATTTAGTAGAAAGTGATTGACATTCAGCTATGCTACTTTTCAGATAACTTGTGTAGCCTTGAAAAACGGTTGACATGGTCTGAAAATAATTGCTGGGGAACTGTCAATGTGGTGAACAGAAGACTACTACTCAAAGTAAATATTGCCCTATATAATGAAAGCTTGACCCAAGTTGCAAAAATTTATTTGAAGCTGAGGTATAGTAAATTTGCTGCCACGTTAGTTAGGAATTGTTACCGAACTGTGCTGCAATACAGTTCATATCCTAAAAATCCATCTCCAGTTCGAAATTACCACTAGCTTCAGACTAAATCAGATCTATTAAGTTTCATAGTTATTCTGTGCATGTTAATAGTTTCCCACAAATCAGAAAATGCATCAAAAACGTACATAGCACGGCCAGTAAGGCATTTTTACAAACTATTTCGAAACCAATACAGTGGCTGTGGGAACATTTTAGGAACGCGACACATCGCAGTATGAATAAACTTGCATCAACGTGGACAAAAAATAGAATCATTATTTAAATTAATAATATAAATTAAATCACTAAGTGTCATTTGCTTAGGTTACATCATCATTTAAGTTTATGTCTAGCACGTATACCTGAAAGCAAAAATTGTTTCTAACGCTTTTGTTGTCCCAACCTCGCGGAACAATTATTGTTAAGAAAGCGATTTCACGCCATTATTGCTAGTTGTTCTATCTAAATGTTATGCTAAGGCCATTTTTATGCAAGTTCTGTGTATTTGAGCAGGGATACCATGATATTTGTTTTAAGTTCTAGAAATCCTTCCCACGTTTTCTAATTTTCCTTTGCACGCCGGCAACATGGCAAGCATCAATTCACCACAAAAGAAGAAAAAACAGAAGAAGGTTGATGTTGGGGTATTTTTCCCAATTGAAAATATGTGATAAATTAGGCGATCCATGAGTCGGAGACATTCGTTGTCAAATCAGAAGAGAGAACTCCTTCTCTAGATACATCCCAATGGCCACTTCTGCTTAAAGTAATCCTGGATTTTAATCTCATTTCTTCAGAATGTGCATTTAATGAACATTAGGGATAGTCATTTTGAAGCGAACACCTGTGGTTACTCACCTTTGCATCGACCACTCGAGGAACACTTAAAGTAATTTGTTTTCATGTCATCTACCATATCTAGGCACGGCGTCATCAATCTAGACAAGCCCTCTAATCCATCTTCACACGAGGTTGTCGCTTGGGTCAAGCGTGCATTGAATGTCGAGAAGACTGGACACAGTGGCACACTTGATCCAAAGGTCACCGGCTGTCTCATCGTCTGCATTGACAGGGCCACCCGCCTTGTCAAATCTCAGCAAAGTGCTGGCAAGGTCTACATCGCTATTTTCCGTCTGCATGAGTGCATATCTGACGTAAAACGTGTCCAGCAAGTTTGCGAAAAGTTAAAAGGTGCTCTCTTCCAAAGACCGCCGCTTATTGCCGCAGTCAAGAGACAGCTTCGCATTCGGACAATTTACGATAGCAAGCTTCTGGAATACGACGCAGAGAAGGGTTTGGGTGTGCTCAAACTTGATTGCGAGGCCGGTACTTATGTTCGGACCCATTGTGTGCACCTTGGTCTTCTACTTGGGTGTGGTGGAGTGATGGAGGAACTTCGCAGGATTCGTTCTGGCATTCTTACAGAAGACGATAACATGGTTACTATGCATGATGTTTTGGATGCAAAGTGGTTTTACGATAATCGTAAGGACGAGAAGTACCTGCGTCGCGTTGTTATGCCTCTCGAGAAGCTGCTTATCGGGCACAAACGTATCATGGTTAAAGATTCAACGGTATGACTGTTTTCTTGTATTATTTCCATCTTAGGTTAGTGCACTTTGTTACGGTGCTAAGTTGATGTTGCCTGGTGTACTTCGATACGATAACGGTATTAACGTGGGGGATGAGATTGTTCTCATGACCACCAAGGGCGAGGCCATTGCTCTCGGTAGGTTGATTTGTAGTATTATTCCTCATTTCATTCTACTCATCTTCTAATTGCAAAAACATTTCACTTTGTAGCCATCGCACAGATGACCACTGCCACCTTGGCAACGTGTGACCATGGCATTGTTGCTAAGCTAAAGCGGGTCATCATGGATCGTGATCTCTACCCACGCCAATGGGGTCTCGGTCCGGTGGCTTCTGAACGCAAAAAGATGATTGCACAAGGTCTTATTAGTAAATTTGGAAAGCCGACTGAAAACGCCGCTGGCGAGGTCAAATCTGCTGCCGACAACGGTGAAAGCGCACCGTAGGTTGTTTCGTAAACTGATACGTCTGTTGTAGACCACAAGCCAAAAAGTTGAAGATAAGTCCTCCCAGTGACGATGATTCAGACTCGGATGAAGAGGCGGCAAACTCAAAACCTACACCGTAAGGTCCTTACCTGTTTAGATACTATCGAAAAGCATCCATTTCCATGAAATTTTTTTTATTTTAGAGTTGCAAAGAAGAGGGCAGCTCCCTCATCATCGGATTCAAGCGATTCTGACAGCGATTAAATTACTTAATTGGGTATATTTACTGTAGATTATGTAAAAGCTTTGTAATTTTTTTCTACTTCCTAAATTTTTTTTCTTGTAGGTGTTGCCAACGGCCTTCACCAGAAATTTTACACACTTGTACATAACCGCGTTTTGCGTCTATTTTTTCGCTAGTAAACCATTTTCCGTAAACATAAAACACGAAATTCATTATTTATCTGCCGGGGTTCGATGTACCTCATTGAGATTATCGATTGGCTGATTCACCATCCCTTACTGCCTCTGAATAGTTTTTTAACAGTAAAGGTTTAAAGTAATGTATAGTTCCTTTTTGAAGTCTATCGGGTAGTCGTGGTCTTCTAGTTACATTTGTTGTTATATCCTAGGAGTGAATTTGACCTTAAGTTAGTGTGCTAATTGTGAGTCGTCCACATTCTTTCTGGTGGATCTTTAACTACGTTGTCTCCTATATCCTTGTCAATGATAGTATTTACCGCGTATTGACCTACGCGTTCTTCCACGCGTCATTGTGCACCGTGTGTTGACTACTTCACTCCGTCCCGGGTGTGACCGCAAAGCAACCGCCCTGCCCGCTATTTGTTGGGGGGTAGCCGCCACTCCGTCCACCCACTTTGATGCTCGTGGTCAATAATTACCGAGATTGGTGCTCCCGACTTCCTTTTTTTGTGTTTCAAGGTGGGAGTCAAGGCGAGGCAAGTTATTAGTGTAATTCAGGCCAGTTTCATTAAAGTACACCCATACAACAAGTAAGGTTCTCGTACTTCTGGAGGCTAGGTAGCATTAAAGTTACGGTCATCGATACAGGATCGAATCGCAGTACCCTGCTGGTCACATTTCGGCTCGATTACCCCTCGTGTCTGGTCACTGACTCTCATGCCCTCTTGAAAAGTCCAGAACTCAAAGTGGCCCAACTCGGTGTGCCTCTTGCTCCTGTGGAGCCCTCGTCCTGCTCCAACAACAAGTATTCATCGAGTGTGACCGCGCACAGAACCTACTTCGGGCGGGATTCTGGGTGACACTCGACCTCTGTGCAATCCGCACCTTCGACTAGTATTCGTCGTTCGACATATCAACGTTTAGCCCAACACAATTCGTGGCAATATACCCAAGCATAGCACACTGCTTTACCACTTCGCCTTGCAATGGGCCGCTCGCGTGTCTCCGCTTTTTAATAAGTCCTGCGACAAGCCAGATGGCTCTAAATTAGAACGAATGACTTAGTATGTCTGCATTATTTAAATAATACATTAAGTAAGGCCATCGGGGATTAGAAAAGATACTTTTGGAGCTGAAAGGAAACAATTGATGTGTCATGTGATTGTGCTAGAGGATTTCGCCTCTTCAAGTATTTTCATGTTGAACAACGTGGAGGGAGGTCAGGGGATAAGGATTAGTACAACGAGCTGTGATCACGAGTGATGGCGGTTAGTTTGTACAGCGAACGTTCAAAAAGAAGGAAATAAAATCCAAAACATGATCATGAGAATAGTACAGAAAAATGCATTGGATAGAACGAGGGCACTAGGGGGATCGACCTGCAACGAGGTCTCGAATATTGCACAACTGGAGGGACCGGTACTCCGACAACTGATCGAGATCACATTAGAAGTCAGTAGGGCGAGAAGCGCTGGTAGCTGGAGTTCGTTCGATAAATGGCTGGAGAGCTGGCATTTGCAACATTCCCGAGCGCAGCATAACTTACAGCAAGACGATTCAGGTAGGGATCGACCCCGGCCGCGACCGCATTCAAATCCGACAGGTAACTATGGAGACGTGGAATGGCGCTTTTTAGACAAAGGTTGCTCAAGATTGCTGGGAATAGTTAGGGATAATTGCTGACAATAAACATACGCTGAATTTGTTGCTGCAGCTAAAGCCGCCATGGCAGCCTGATTGCTGGCGCCTCCGTTTGCTGCTGCTGCTGCCGCCGACGAACTCGACGCCGTACTAGTTGCCGGTGAAACCGAGGCTGCAGTAACACTGACAACGGCAGGCGGAGCTGTCTGGGAGACAGGCGTGGTGCCGCCGAAGGCGCGCAGCATAGCCGCTGCGAAGGGGTTGGCGGCGGAGGCAGCGACACCCGCCTGCGATCCACCCCCAGCACCTCCGCTGGCGGCCAAACCGGCGGCCGCGAGATTCGCCGCGGCCAAAGCAGCTGCCGACTGCTGGGCGACCTGTGCTTGGGCTTGTTGCTGGACCTGAGCTTGATGTTGGTGAAGACGATGCTGCAACTCTAATTCAGGCGAGGCACCGTACCATGGCTGAAGGGACACGCCAAAGCGGTGTAAATTTACATTATGGCTTTTGGTTGGTGCCCCGTAAATCGGCAGTAACCAAATGCCTTATAATTGCGTGGATCAGTAGTAAAGCATGCACAATAAGACAATCTAAGTTGCCAGCATGAGCAGTTATGAAGAGTCATTACCTGTACGTTAAAATCCCGTCATTTGTTTAAAAACTGTTCGCATGGGATCAAATAACGGCAGTTACTGACGCACATTTAGGCTACTTTTCTTGACGAAGTAGATGAAATTCACCAAAAATGCGGCGAACTAGACCTAATTTTTCCAGAGAAAAAATGGACTGCGAATCCAGTAACTACTCATTCCGTAGTGGTTGCAGGTATGACATAGAAGCCTGTGTCGAGGATTCATTCTACTTCTGGACTATCGGAATAGTTGTCCTCGCGTAGCCCCGAGTTCTTTTTTTACCATTAAAATTAAATCAGCAAAGACTTAAACTACTCAGTCTAATCTTCCAATGCGCGTCTAATTCGTAACTGCAGGTCTGCTAAAGTGAAAACACCCAATACCGCTTGTGAGAGCCTTCAGAGGAACAAGTAATTTGACTTTAGCCAGTTTTCGGATCTACAGGAGTTGAGCTGAGCGATCATGAAGACAAAAATCAAGGCAATATGACAGACGTTGCGTAGTGGTGACCAGTCGGGTTGAGTGTACTAGGGCTTCAATGTCATCCCTGATTAAACACACACTGCATTCTTAACGGGCCAACCTATCGCGCCGTGCAATTGCCATTGCAGAACATTACCCACATGCCCAATCAAGACGAACTCACAAGATTAGCGGCCAGTAGCTGTGCTGCTGGCTGTGCGGCGGGTGACTGCATGGGTATCGAGAGTGTGCCCGCGGCGGCCGCCCCATTCAGCGCGGCAACGTAATTCGTCAGCAGGGCGGTGGTTGGATCGGCCGCGGCTGCAGAGGCCAGGTAGAGTGCCGCGGTTGGATTGTAAGCAGCCGCGGCTGCAAGCAATGCCTGGTTAGCCGCTGGTGAGACAGCTGCCGCCGGATTGGCTGCAGCAGCGACCAATCCAGTTGTGCCCAGACCGGCCAACGTTGAGCAACCTCGAAGAGCTGCGGCTAGCGCGGCAGCGTTCGACACAGTTGGTGGGAGGGCGTTTCGGATGCCCCTCAATGTGGTAGCGGCTAGGACAAGACGATCAATAGGTTTTATTCAAAGTAAGAAGACGCATATGAAGACCTTGACTGTTGATATACAAAGGCGAAGTAAACAGTAAAGATAAGGGAAATTGGAACCACTAGTTGGCCACATCTGTAAAACAAAACAATGCCTATAAGACAATTTCGTAACTAAGACTGCAAGCGACTGCTCGGTTCATTCATGAATAGTGGTGTTGCATAAAAACTGGCTTTCTAATTGGTCAAGGGTTCCAAGCCAATTTTTTCAACTACTTGGAAGCGATTCTAATGGCGATGAATGTCCTGTTGTTGTACAAATGAAGTGCCAAAATACTCACTTTTCATTAATGTCGGAGCCTCTGATTTCTTCTTTGTCATCACACGCGCCGTTGCGTTGTTTATCTGTGCAGATAATTCAATACGTGTCAGGCAAGCATGCAAGGAAGGATCACAAGGACATATAGTACGGAAATATGAGACGGCTGAGGTGCACGCACAAGAATCATAGCTACCGAGTGCATCCCCGCCGGTATCATCATCTCCCACCAATCAGCAAAGACACCTCGAGCTCAACCAATGCATTTTGACTCTGTTTAGATGGGTCGCTCTTGCATGCCCGAGGCAAAGATGAATTTCTGCCATCTATGAGTTGAATACTACTCACTGGCTACAAAGGGGATCGGCAACAACGACTGTCTATGCGGAGACAAACGATCAATGGGTAATTGTTCTGGTTAAGAACACAATCCACAAGCCGAACACATTAAAGAAGCTGATAAATTGGCATCAGCCTTTGAAATGACGTTTCATAAGCAACATTAAGTATTCATATATAGGAAGAAACAAATCTAAAATGATAGTCTCAAACTCAAACGGTAAGGTTGAAGTACCGCGCGCAAAATTTGTAAAAATGCCAAAGCATCCAGGATGTTGCTTCTGTGTGTTCGCACTCACCGCAGACCATGCTTAAAAACGCCCTTCTGCAACTTTAACCGTGAGTTTACAAGACCACTAATTAACCTAAGTATGTGCACTTGTACTCGGACAAGCAATGACCTCAGTGTTCCAGAAATGAGCAAATATCATCGTGCAACCGGTAACATGATCCCGGTGACAACCAATAAATTGGCTACATGTGCTCATAAGAGGGACGATACAATTCTCACGGGCATCATTCGAAGCAGCCACTAAAAGGAGTTCTAGGCTAATTTAACCATGGGATCACGTCCAATAAGGCTTTTAGGGGAACAGGTCATGCGCAAATCCTCTCTACTAGACACGAACACAAGGGCGGCTGCAAACAACAGTATAACAACGATAGTGTGTGTACATATGTGCGCCTCTTTGCACTGCCTTCGGGCAGGTTTTTTAGTTTTTTTTTTGCACTGGAGCACGACAGGGCAGAGCAGATGACGAGTGGAGTTCAGCGGGAAGGGGACACGCATTCAGCACACGTACGCACTCATCGGTGCGTGCTTATACAAACACAAACGCACGCACGCACGCATGATAGCGGGAGAACACAGCATGAGGGCCAGTCGATAATCGATTGGATTTGAGCGCGCGCTTGCGTACATCGACACAAGCACGCAAAGGGACAAGCAAGAGGGTTGGTCTCGACTGTTTAGGTTACCTGCTTTGAACTGGTCTCATTGCTCGCTCTGAAAGTAAAGGTAGAAGTGAGGGCAGGGACTTGAGGATGCGTGCAGCATTTCCACAGTTCGCTTCGTCACTTGCCGACATTCGCCTTCTTGTGAGGCCACAATCAACCATGCTGCCACCAGTCAGTGTACATCCCTCATGCGAATGATGAATTCCAACAACACAACAATGCACGTGATCAGAGTGGACGCTATTGGTGCAAATTCGATGGGTGCTATATTCGTCTAGGACGTCTTTTGTGTATTTACGCTTGAATCAATGGAAACGGACGGCAATCAAGGGGATCTAACTGGGTACAGCGGTGGGACGCGTCATAGCAATAAACCGATTGATTACGAATGACAATTACAATGACGATTGCATTAAATATTATTTACTACATCATAACTGAAACGAGAAGTTGACGTGACACCAGCACAGAATTTGTTAATTGACCTAAGACATTTAAAGTCAGACTGCGGTGTGGACTTCATCCGAGTCACTACGTGTTAACAGAATTTCAAGATCATCTCATCTTGATTAGAAGTTGAGATTTGAAAACGGAAATGTCTTCGGTCAATTTTGCATTCAGAAATTTGAACCCAACTCAACAGGCTGTCAAGTAGCAAGAGCAATAACTTCAAGCCAAGCCATGAGGATTAGAATTACACTGATTAATACTAACCCGTTTCAAACTCAGAGTAGCGGTTTGAAAATGAATGCCACATGAGTGGGATGGCAATGTCAGAGCACAGTGATGAGTCTCACTGGGGCGTTTGCAACAGTCGAACAAAATAAGCGTAACTTAAACGCTTACATGCTTTCAACTAGCGCAGACACCATCAGTGATGCTCTGGCTGTGTGTGGGTTGGGTTGGTGTGTGTGTGTGTACAAAAGAAGGCAAGCAACTCGGAAGGAGAATCCGCGTGCCCTTACCTCAATTTTTCTGCCTTCAACCACCGTGCCGTTCAGATTTTCACGCGCCTTGTCCGCCTCTTCGGGGGTCGCAAACGTGACAAACCCGAAACCCTATCAGGTGAAATGCAGAAAAAAACACCCGTTCAGATCTACAGGAAGGAGGCAGATGCGTTGCTAGAGGGGACAACACTTGTGCAGCAACACAACGGCTTCGACCTCTGGTGGGTTTGTGGAGTGAATGAGACCCAATTCTGGTGAAAACCAACAGCCACTCCTGTTGAGCCCGCTGTCGGGACTCCCTACTACAGTAATCAAGAAAACACATAGCTTGGTGCGTTTTCATTGGACACTTCACTAAAGAATCTCCTACAACCTTATGAGATGCAAGTTCGCTCTTAATTAACAAATTGGCTGATTTACTGTAATGCAGAATCTAATATCTAAGCAGGGAACCGAGTGAGTTTTGGCCGTTAGACTTGCTTAGCATGGTTAGTGTCATCGAAACACGAGTAAATTAAGCGAATCAATGGAAGGCGTGCTACCAAGACCATCACACGATGCCTATTCGGGTAGAACGAGCATTCACAATTTGCACACGGTAAAATAAGTAATACAAGGAGTAAATCAATAGAAGTGCGTATAATCGAGGCGTTATTTCGTGCCATGCTTGGTAGCAGATTTCTCAGGCGTCATGCAAGTTCGGATCCCGCGAGCACTGTATTGGAAAAAATCATAACTACTTGCACGAACTTCAGTAGCATTCAGCGTGTGGGAAGACAGGCACATGCGCTTTTCCAAATCCATGCTTTGTCAGTCACGGTAGTTGGATGGGGGGTGAGAGTGGGTGAACGCGCGCGCACGAAGTCAGCAAGTCTAGATTCACGATGCACGTGCATATCGACCGATCAAGGCTGGTGCATGTGATGACCATGCAGATGCCAGAGAAATTGAAAGCTGTTTCTTTCCAAACTTATTTTGCTATCCTTGATTACGGATGTACAAGCCAAGGAGCCACAGGAATGGTGTAACTACCGAAACTAAAACAGTCAGTTGTTCCCTGACGGATTCGCCCTTAAATTGGTGTCCTTTTGAAGTAGAATTCACAGTTATCGTAGAAGTGGAATGTAAAAATTAAACAAGGATTTTGAAGCTGAAAGTAGGCCTCTTGAAATCATGCCGCATGTGGTGCTGTGATAGGGGGCAAAACGAACCCTATTTGCCATTTAACACGTGGATTCGGTCAGTATTGTCGCTGAAACAGGTTCAATGCACCAGGAATTATAACAAACTGCTCGGATACCATCTTTACGTGCATAATTGAAACCGGTGGTGTTTCTCTGGTGCAGGCCCTTGTTTACATAGGAGAACTAGCACAGTTGGAAAATGTGGAGGAGTGTTTGAGGGAAGTTTTCTCTGCGTAGTTAATGGAAATGTGCCAAACCATGGATTGCCAATACTGCCAAGTCTTCAAATCACAAAAGCATTTACTGACAAATCAGGTTTTGAGGTCATACAAAAGTGATGACGGAAACCAATGCAAAAAAACCTATGTGTAAATTGGACAAATGAGGCACCAAAGGGACGGTAAGCGGCTCAATCAGGCCTGGACATGCGCATTGATTGGACAGACGGACTAAAAACCGTATAGGACACCGCGAATGTCACTTACATTTGCCCCATTAACGCTCAGGGAATTCAGCCTTCCAAAAATTGCAGTAAACAAGAGTAATGCTTCTTTCAAATGGTGAAGAGAATAAACTGGCTTGGGAATTTAGGTCCAGGCTAATCAAATTAAATTATAAAAAAATTTATTTACTAAACCTCACCATCCGGGGGCTAAGAGTCATAGAGCAGACGAGGAAACAACAGCATGAGACAACGACTGGCCGAGCTAATCGCTTAGCACAGAACGTCTTGTGCTGGAACCTGTTTACGAATCTAAGCGTCTACTTGTTGAGCAGCTGCGTGGTTTGGAGAATTTTTAAATTACACTAAGACTACGTATTTGGTTCTCGTAAAATTACCGGAACCAACGCGGCCATATTTAGAAGGGCCTAAGTGTGGGTTGGGATTGACGGCCACGCCGAAACAGAATATGCAAGTTGCCACTAATTCGCCTTTCGCTTCAAGAAAAGCCGAACGATGACAATAAGTGGACATCCGCAGTCAAGATCACTGAAATTCGCAAAAATAAATCCGAAGCAAATCGGTGCTTCAGCTAAATTACCTTACAGAATATTGTGGCTGTGACTGAACCAATAAAAAAAGGTGTGAATGTACAAACCGTTTGGTGGCGCGTGCATTATGGCCTGTCATTTGATGTGGCACTGCACGTGACCGGTTCGACGGGAAAAAGGACACAGCCTAGCCTTGTGTGGGTAATTGGGGAAGGCAAGCACAAAATTACGGTAAATAGGCCGTGCAGGTGTTCAGTTAGGGCGGGCGGACGGGCGCGCGCACCCAATCACACAAGAACGAACAAACGAAGAGAAGGGAATGCAAACGGTGAGGGTGGGTTCTCATTGGACAAGAATGCTCTCGCACGAAGTAGGGGATATGCAGGTATACCATAGATGGTCCCATTTACCACAGAGAAACACAGAAGGGCAAAAAAGCGTAGGGCAAATTTGTGCCCTTAAGTAGTATGTACCCGTTCGGATAATCCAGCATCCCAGAGAATCGTTCGACTAAAATCCGAAGTAGCATCGAAGTGTTAAAAAAACGTGCAGATTGCGAGGCCATTTTACTGTTTATTGTTTAGTTTAGTGTACGAATATGAACTTTCCCTAGTTCGTGCAGCTGGCATTCAAAGTACAAAAAGACGTCATTCAACAGACCAACCAGTGAGTTGGCTACATTTGCAGGCTTCAATCTTGCAGCACGATGCGTGACAACCTGAAATATAACTCAAGTAATGATAGATTAAAGTATAGCAAAATCACCAACCTTCGATCCTCGTTCGTTGAAAATGATTTCCACATCCAGGATAGTTCCAAAGGGCTTTAGGGTGGGGAGGAAAATGAGGCGATGTGTTATTCGTGTAAAATACGACGACTACACAAGCTAATTGCTGATGATCGAGTGAGCGCAGTGGCGCAGATCATTAATTAAATCGCATAGCCTGAGACTATGGAATTGAGGGTCTGGAATTTCAATCGACCTAAACGTCTTCCTTAACCATTCGAATTAAGTTATTGCAAAACACTTTACCAACAGAATCTCCTAGTCACCGTAGGACCAATTCTAAGACCATTGTGAGTTTTGGTGAGAAGCTACGACAAACTGTTTGGTTTGATCCCTTCATCGTAATGAAGCTGAGAAGGGTAGAAAGTATAATATAGAAAACCCGGCACCCGATAAAAGGGCTTCTCCAGTGGTAGAAATTATACCTAACGATGTCAAATAGTAAAAGGCTAATTTGCACACCAGCACTCACTCCGAGCAACTGTCGGAGGTCAGCTTCGCGGAAGCGGAAGGGTATGTTGGAGACGTGGAGGCGTTTTGGGGCCGTGGAGGCCAAGGCGGCGATGCTCGCGGCCGCCGCTGCCGAGGCCTCGCTGGTGGCCGGTGCTCTCAGCGAGGCAGCCTGCGCCGCGGCAGCGCCAGCGACTGGCTGCTGTTGCTGCTGCTGGTGGTGCAGCATGTCGTCCACGCTCGACGGCTGGACGGCACCGTCGTCCGCGGTGCTCTCTGTGTGTGCTTCGTCGTTTTCTGACAACTTCGAAGTCTGCGGACGCAATATAAAGGAATTAGAGTTAGAGTCACGGCGGAATCATTTACAAGTTAGAGGACGGTTATCAGAACCTCGACATCCTTTAAAACACAATCTAAAGCTCTTTTTGATTTTGGCCTAAACAGATGCTGAGGTATTGCCCTGTTTCTGTAGTGCCTATTAAATGAACTACCTAGATAAAAAAACGGTTTGGGAGTTCCACATATTGATTTGGACTGGCTTTCCGTTTTTATTTCGACACCCGCTGACCCAGGAAGAGCTATTAGTTGTGACCTTAGGCCTAACGACTGATTTGGAAACTTGGGACACCGATTCGCTATAATTTTAGGTCAGCCTTGTTTACGCTGTCATTCGGTTTCGAAGTTGCCTACCGCGCCCGTGTGTCAAGTACCGACACAAACAAATCGGTAGCCACTTCCAATAACATCGCTCGCGCGTAGGCCTGGCGTGCACTGACAGCCCCGTCGAATGTAGCGAATGCCGCACAGGTTCGACGGCGTGGTGTGCGCCGCCCCACTTGAATGACTAGGTGTCTGCACGTTGGCTTCGTGGCTCAAGGCCCGACCCTGTTGGCTAGTTTGATCTGAGAGGGTTCCTTGACAGGTCGTGGACAAGTGGCCTCAGAGAAAACTCCCAGAATAGGTCAGAAACCAAACGTCTATCGATGGCATGACGTGACATTCCCAACGTCAACTACTCCCATCTGGTCACATCCCGATTTTCCACCTCAAGAATCGTGCTTGGTTTCGATGACTCAATATCACGCGACTTTTTCAACTAAAACAGAACAACTGACAGCACTTGATTAGGTTTGATGGAACTATGACCGTACGCTTTCCTCCTAAAAACTGAAGGTCATTTTCTACTATACGACCGTTTAAATACGTAAGAAAAACATTAAATCAGGAAGCTACACCTTCGGAACAAAAGTTGATCAGCTTGGAAACAGCAACAAGACAGGGCAGTTTTATACAGCGACAAACCAAGACACACGACTTCGGACGACAAATTGGCTACGTCTCAGTTGTGCGATAATATTGATTGACATTAAGTCGCAGTCTTGGCCGAGTAATTTTGCATTCAAAAGTCGTCTTTAGGAAGACCGGTACTCGAGTTAACGAATCAATCTTTGTGTGACAGTTGACCAACAAGCTGTTTGCTTGGAAATCTGTTCTCACGGATCGCATCATAATTGGGAAAACAATGTAGACTAGTGATAGCTGTTGATTTAACTTCAAACAAAAACGTGGCATTGTGCGCGCGGTCGAAGTGGAAAAAGCCTTGAATGTCGTCGATGTGAAGCAGAGTGGTCAAAAGAAATGGGGTTTTAAAGGGGAAGGTGAAGGAGACGAGAGGGACAAGACACACTCACCTTGGCCTCTCCAGGGCCTCCCTCGCCAACGGAAGACAGTGCCCCCGCAGCACCACCATGCAGTAGCCCATTCATTCGCATCGACTCGAGCAGGGAGGCGGAGGTGTGCTGCTGGCTGGCGTCCGCATCGGACGCGGGCGCGGCCGTCGACGCAGTCGTGCTGGCGGGGACGTCGGCGGTCGCCGACTGGGCATCGCAACCGCCGGCCTTGCCGGGGGTCGCAGCAAAGCCGGAAGTCGGCGGGAAGGTGAAGCCGGTGGCGGACATTTGTGAAGGAAGGCTTACAGCAGTGGAAGGGTCCAGGGGGTTGGTTGGAGATGGAAAGAATAACTAGAGGAGACAATAGAACTTACGCGTCACTTTCATGCAAGTGACGTGGGTGCTCTCTTAAGGGTTACATCCAACGAATGGGTTCTCTAATAACGCGGAAATGATACCTCACGTAGTTGCTATGAGCAAGCACGCAGCAAAAAGCAAATACTACTACGGAATCGCGGAGGCGTGCATACAATAGACTCCTGTTGGACGACCGGGCGCAAAAACCATGTGAAGCTACCGGAATCAGTAAAAACGGAGAGCGTAGACAGTTCGCCTAATTAGGCACAATCTGGAAACATTCTTTAATGCTTCAGTATTAAACATGAATATAAATTCGTCTGCAGCGAATTCAGGAAACATGGAAAAAATCCACCTTCAAAAAAAGTGTCGTTGAATTTATTAATAAGTCCAATAATAGCAACATAATGTCATTTAAAGCAAAATGCTTGATAAATATGCAGGTGTCACAGTGAAAATATGGGCGGAAAATGTCACCACAGGGGTCAAACGTGCATTCACCTTGTTCGCGTTTTAAGTGTTTAATTTTTCGATTTTATGAGTACGAAAAGACGACGAAAGTGGGAAGTGTTATATTGGGAAAAATCGAAGTATAGCGCCCAATTACCGCTACATTGTGCATTGTCGCCATCTGGCAGAGATCGTCACCCATGAATGTGGGGCTCTAGTGCAGTGGAAAACGAGCAGCTTGTTTTTAATGCAGCAATTTTGCTCTGGAGGCTGAGAGCAGAAACTGCCTCGAAGCAGTCAAACTGGGAACTTGGCGAAAGGTATGGGTTACCTCTGATAGAACTAGACATTCGCTCAAGAGTGGATGCCGAATAAAGAAATTATTATAACGTGTGACAAAGTCTACGCATAGTCATAATCAAACTATTTGAAAGTCGCTGTGATTGCTGGGGTTTGGAGCAGCCAACCTTCAGAAAGAGAGGTAATCGATTTAGACGTGAGACGGACACGGGAGTCTGGCGCTAGTGGTGGTTTAAGTAGGAAGGATATGAAGGGTGTACTCACAAGGTTTCCTGCGCCGAGGGCTTGGGGGGTAACAGTGTGGAGGAAGTTCATCGATCGTCTTTCAAATCTCACACGCACACACTCGCACGCACACAAGTGGTAGCTCCTCCGAAATGCAAAGCACCAGTATGTGGGGCGACCAGGAGGAGCAGGAAGTGTGTGTATGGCTATGGCAGAAGCACACATTCGCCAAGAGGCTGACAGTTGCCCACTACCGTTCTTTGCCCAGTGCGCGTGTACGCGTGCGCGCCGCGTCTATTGGCCACTGCGATAGGCCACGAGGGGTAGATGCGTGCGGCCGTGGTGCTGGCACCACACAACGCTCCACGCGCCCGCCGATCGTTAAAGTTGTGCGTGCATGCAAGCTCGACCCGGTTTACACGCGAGATTCCCACGCTGGGTGAATGTAAACTGGCTTGTTTAATATTGACTGCGAAACTGCGCAATTCCAGACCGACTTGGCTCTTGCGGGACTCACCTGCACCGCTGGGAGCCTCGAATTGGACCCGAGAGTAGAAAAGGACGGGTAAAATTGAAATTTGGAACGCTCCCTTTTGAACGATTTCACTGGCTTGCTGGCACAGTGACGCTAAGAGCTACCAAGACCGGCCAGTGGTTAGGAAGAGAGCACCCCGTGGAAGATTCACCGACAAGAGTTATTAAGCACCCACAGCAGGCACTCTGATGAAATGCACACCTGTGTCTCCAATCCAATCATCCGTCGGAAGCTAATCCACTAATTGCCATGGTTTCTAATGGCATAGTTGCACCCCAAAGTGCTGCTGTAGTGATCTTGTCAGCTTAGAAGGTACTTCACTTGGCAGAACTTTGTCGGTGCCTAGGACGAGGCCTAACGCTTCGTGTAAAGATTTTACACTGAAATTCTAAGGTTGTTCACAAGTAGCAATTTCGAATGATTGTCGTACCCTGTCACTCTGAAGTCAGTTTAGCACGGTAGTACTTCAACGACGTCTTCCCTATACCACCATGAATCAGACAAAACGAACCCTCAAACAGCGGGGTATTCGAAAAAAGGTATGCCGGCGATACGATTGAGTAATGCACAAGTACTCGATGCAAGCGTGGATGTACAATCCAATTTTCAGTCTCAATCAGAGTAGAAACGTAACCGGGTTTCAAAGGGGCGAATTCGGATAACAAATTGCAAATGGACACCCCGAGTTCTCTTGTAAGTTTTGCAAGCCCGTGTTTACTACACTGGCTAAGCAGATGTGGCACGATGGCTTTTTTCAGTTAACAGGCCAGTGAAGGTGTTTTTTTTCCGCATTGCCATGACAGAGTGAAATGCCGTGCACATGCCCAGGCAACTGACATAAACACTGACACTCCGGCCCCACCCGCCTCTGTTTCCGGTGTCAACACCCCCAAAAACGCGATATTTAGAGCGCTAATGCATTTCGGCGGAGTTGTCCATCGAGCAGCAAATGGTTCCGACTACCATCGATGCAGAACCGTCAGTTAATTAGGCCCAGTAATAACGTCGCACAAAATGAATCTCCAATTTCAACTTCAATTTTAACTGATGCGCTTTGAAACCAAAGGCAAACCTCGAATTCAATTCCTGATTATCCATGTTTATTGCATGGAAGTCCATTAGAAGCTAACAGCTGTCTTAAAGCACACTAAACACCAGCCAGCGAATTCCAGTGTGTGACTCCACGTGCTCGAAGTGGCCAGACCAAACCGGGTATCTGGCAGAAAAACATTGCAGCGACCAAGTGGTCGCGGACACTTGACATACACTTTTAGGAGTTTGCGGCCGAGAATCCTTAACAAGCAGCTGATTTTGGGTTGCAGAGCAATCGATCTACACTGCTACAATAGCAACTGGGACCAACACTATGTGAAGAATACTAGCAATCAGAGTAAATAAGCAAAGGCGAGAAACGATTTCAAGGAAGCAGAAAATCCAAGCAAGGAGTTTTGGAAGCAGGGAAAAGGAAACTGAGCCAATAACAGGTCTGCTATATCTTAAGCAACTCACATTTAAGCAGCTGAGAGAATCGGCAAAATATCCACGTGGTGGGGTCCTAACGATGATGCTATTTGTCATGGTTTGGGCGTTATTCACACGTTTCTTTGTGGCTCACTTTCGCATGGTTAGCCGGGTGTCTAGCGTGTGTGTGTGTGTGTGTGTGCGTGACAGACATCAACGGGTCAAATGAGCTTTGCTCTCTCTCTCTCTCACTCTCGCTCGCTCTGTGTGATGTAAACAGTCGAATTGCGCCTCCGTAGGCATCTGAACGCGCGCGTGCACATGCGACAATCACACACACCCACACCCACACATTTGCAATTTGTGCGTAAACTGCCACGGCCATGAACATTTCACTAGTTGCGTGACACAAGTAGCCGGCAGAAGCCGAAGAAGATAATCACAATCGGGTCGAATAAAAGTCGATTAATTGGGTAATAAGTCGCATATGACATAAACCTTCCATGATGTCAGTGATTTGGCAGCAGTGTTGAAAAGGTGTTCCCGTACAGGAGCTAGCAGACTGCATCACAGAGTCCGGCCTTGTTGTAACCCCATCAGAATGCAACGGTGACCAGGCTGAAATTTGCTGTATCAGTAGCTAGAAAGATCGAAATGCAAAGTGGAACGCATGAAATCGACAGATTCGATTTCATTGGGAAACTCCTGGCAGTCCGATTCGATACGCATCCTTGCAGACAAACCCATGTGGCCTACGTGACGCTTAGACTGGCAAACCAACCTGAAAGAATAAACATGGAAGAATTGGGTTGCTTGGATGCAACCTCAGGCAATTAGAGTATTGTTCAAGCGTCCCATCACAATAATCTTGTGACAGAAACAAACCGCCAGTTTCAAAGTCGACGCAGGCATTGCCACTTGTCTAGGAGGCTCAACGATCGGAAACAGCGCTAAAGCCTGTTTATTAATGGATCAGAAGTGAACCATGCTTGCAGCTCTAATGCATTTTTACTTAAGCGGCAGTTGATGCTGAGTCGACCGTTTCTGGTTTGCCAAAGAGAAATGCTGCCGATATGCCAGTGCGAGGAGTACAAATGGGTCTGTGAAGTCGTGATAACACTGTCTTGTACCAGTGAGGTCTATAAGTGACTGATAGCGCAAATTTCACGTGAAATAGAGCGACGCTTAAAATGCCGACACTTGTTTCCATGGCCTGTTCCGTTAGTTGGTGGCTGGCGTAAAGCCAGCACACGACCTGGAATTCGACCGACCGGCCGGCCCGCCGGCTGTCGACTTCTCCCCACTCGCCTGACTCATCCACCCCTCTTCACAACGCGCGTACACTCGGCACGTCTAGCCCCACGACGACGACGTCACAGAAGCTGCAAGTCCTGTTCGCGGTTGCGGTGGCGGATGATGCTTGGGCAACCGCCGCGTAGCCCTTGGGATGACGCACACACCGCGCATCGATTCAGCCGGTCGGTGTGGCACGTGCGTGGACGGACCACTGTAGGTCGGCGATGGGGCGCGTGTGGGAGGATGTGCAGCCACCAGAGCGGCGGTAGGGGTGGGAACGTGGGAGGGGGGGGGGAGGCAAGTGATCTGAGGTGAACGTGGATGACCCGAGACTGCGTGATTTCCAGGAGTTTGAACTTGTGATGAAAGTGCGATAAAGTGTCTTTTTGATTGATGCGTTGGCGGCATTGTGGACCAGGCACTACGCGGGGCGGGTGAACGAATTTCACCGACTCCACTCTGACCTACCACGATCTTATCGGCTTAACTGGTTAAATGTGGCAGTCGGACGGCACAGACTTGCAAAATCAAAAAAAACGTGAGCGAATTTTGAACACGGCTGCTGCATGCACCCACTGAGATAGGCCAAGCTCAAAGCCTGACTGCAGTCGCGAGTTTTTTTACCTGACTCTAAGAGAGGTAACTTCTGTAAAAGCATTCACAGTGTTGACACAGTTCGACAACGTTGTCTGAAACACGTCATCAGTAGTTTCAATCAGATAAAAGCGTTACAAAACTCCAACAAAGGCACATTGGCCTAGCCAGTAGAGAGGTAGTGGATGGGATCTCCAGTTCCACTCCACGTGAATAGACGACGGCAAGAAAGCTGAGGCCAGCGACAACAAATCGGAAGACAAAATATTCCAATCAACCTGTATTAACTAGTCGTTCATTAAGGTAGACGAAATCGTAAGTACTAACACTTTTTTTCGGAAAGTAAATTGACATAAGGCGTACACAAATGATCTCTTGTGTAAAGCGAATCTAAACCAAGTTGACCGAAAGAGTTACAAAGTACGTGGTAGCTCTTTTTAGGTCAATGGTTTTGGAGTAAATTGGAGCTGGGTGTAGAGACTAAAGCATAAGCCACTTTTTCTCTTCTGAGATATTTGTCAATACCTCAGTTAAAGTCCAGAAATTTGTTGGAGAGGTGGATAGAATAAATAGCACGTCAAGATTGGTGAAAATGGACGAAATCAATAAAATTTAGGAACGACAAAAAAAACACTTGGGATGTCTTCGGGAAAGTTAGCCTCTATGCGGACAGCTGTTGTTCCTGTCGCCTGATTTACCTAACAGCAACGATAGCGAAAATCGGTGGCAGCTTCACGAAATGACGCCCACTTGCGTGTTTACTGCAGCCACCAGCTTCATTGTGAGGCGCGCCATCGTGTCCCAGTCAGAAAAAGTGGAAGGCGTGAGTCATCATGCAGCCAGCCCTCTTCTTCGTCCCCTCCTTCAACTACCCACAGCAAAGAAAGACGATTGAAAGCGAACCATAAATCACTACAGTATGCCAGAGCGGATGCGTGTTATCAACTAGGCACGTGGAAATATTTACGGCTCTCGATGCTAAAGTAGACCTCTGGAGGTGGGAGAAAACACGTACAAGTTCAGCCAGTAAATTCTACATCATGATCTTAGTCAAGGAAATTACAACACAAGGCCTCAGTGGAAGCCAAAAGCAGGAGACGCTAATCGGGTAGGCATTTGAACACCTTCAAGGTCTTGAGCGTGAAAGTACCCCCCTCCCCAGAGGTTACAGGACCACCCATGAACCAACTGGGAGAGGTCAATCAACTGCCTCCTGAAGGTCAGACGAACGGTAAATAGGACACGAAGCACTTCGTGCAAGCGAATCTCTTGATGGAAATGCCCATGAAATTTGACCAGTATGAGGGTTCTTTCATTCGACTTATCGATGAGGGCATTTTGAGCACAGTGGGTGTCACGCCTAAATTTGGGCTGGAGGCCAAAATGGGACTGGCAAATGATTTAACCAACTACCAAATCGAGAAGTTTGTATGAGACAAGCGCTAGCGGCACCTCCACTAAACACGATGAGATCCACAGACGCTTGTGGAACACCGGCACTCAAGTGTCCTCATAAAATTACTCATAACCATTAATACCCGCCCGTACACATCAGCGCCAAGTAAAAGTTCAAGCAGTTTACGAGACTGGACGTTCAACGTGCCTTTTTTGTGGTTACACGGAGAAGAGGAAAGGTAGGACACAAAAGTCCAGAATCACAATACGTTTGCGAAACAGCTACGGAGCCTTGAGACAAAAATTGAGGTTGGCAGAGAGCCAACGCTGACTCACCTTTGAACTCCAAGTTCGGAAGGTAAAGTCCTGAACATGAGCAAGGCGGTTTTATATGCGCAGCCCTGGTGCGGCATTTACACGTTAGTCGTAATTTATCCGCTGTTTTAAATCCGATTCTGACTGATCGCCGCTTACAGCTTACTCCATACAGTTATACCTTCCGCACAAGATTTAGTCTTCGCTTATTCGACGTGCCAAAAAAGGGATTCCAACTGTTAATTCGGGGATTTGCATCAACATACCGGGAAAAACAGAGCAAAGCCACAAAAGGGAATATCTGGAATACGTCAAATGAAGTCCAAGCTACGAAATTGCTGAATGTTTACACATGTATTCCCTAAGACTTTCATAACAGCAACAGGAGACACCTATTTAGGGTTGTATTCGGAAGGCCAGCGCCAATAAGCAGTGGGTGGTACCTATGAGCCTTATGATTCAATAGCTTATCGACTGCTCACCGGGTTTTTGGAGGGGTAGTTAGTTCCACCCACTTGGTTGGGGACCCCGCGGAGACAAAAGAGGTCCATCAGACCGCAGGGGAGGCGTTTCGTGCCGGAGATGCCGGATGGGGGCATCGCGGCTGCCGGTCTGGTGGCGGAAAACGGTTGCCGGAGCAACGAGGTCGGGGGTGCGAAGGGGTTCATGGGGCTCTGGCCTGGGCAAAATCCGCCAGGTCGCGCGTGGTTCGGACGCATTATAGCCGTGGGCTGTTGCAACATGAGCGCGAACTCCCGTCTGAACCGCCACTCTCGCTATTGGACTGACACCGGTGGGGAGAGAAGTGGCACGTGCAGAGGAAGCAAGCGGCCGAGCATGGTCGCGTGCGCCCTAGACGCTTGCCAGACGTGCGCACACGCAAGAGCAGCCGGGGAGCCAATCAAACTTGTGCGCACGTGCGTCCGCAGCGAGATCGATGCTCGTGAGCAAATGAGTTTATTGGCCGCCTCAAGGAACCGCACGATTGGTCAACCTGCAAATTGGTTTCGCCTGTCTTTCGTTCGTTTTCCCCCTCATCCTGACTTGGCACGATATTCAAGCACACTCCACATTTTTAACACGTCGATGCCAGTGAATTTAATCGAAGGGACCTATTTTCTCAAGGTAAGATGGGGTGATAAACGGCGCGATGATTGAATTAATGATAAAACGCCTACTGCGGGAGAGCGCACCTTCCACGAATAAAAAAACAAATAAACACGCCTCTGGAGTTTTCAGCCATCATTTTGGCTCCTGTTTACGTCCCACTACCGCGGCGTGGCAAAAATAATGACAAATCCTAATTTACGAAAAAGAGAAGTTATCTTGAGGGAGATGTCGACGTACTAATGCGTATACTAAGTCGATTACAAATATACGAATGATGATGTGTGGGCGTAAGGTGGTCGGTTTGTACAGGGGAAGAGTTAGTGACAGGGGAGAGGGATTGGACGAGTTACACGAAAGACATGTCGGTGAAATTATTCTTCGCGTCTGCGAGCCACCACGTGGACGAAGTTGTCCGGATATGCCATGTGCTCACACATCCACTGCGCAGGCGTCTTTAGCGGAACAGTCACGCCGTGAACCAGGAAGACAAAATCTGCACAAATAAAACGAGTTCGTATGAAATATACGTCTTACTGAAATAAAATCAGTACACTATTTTATGCGAGAAGAGCCACGCGATCCCAGCTCCAACCCTACAAGATAAAAAACTCACCTTCATACTTGAGATCATCGCCGCAGGATTTAAAAATAGTAGTAATGACATCAGAGAAGGTGGCGGGAGTCCTGTTCGAGTCGGTGAAGGGAGAAACGAGGGTCTGGAGATATGTCGGGGGGAGTGGGACTGAGGGGGAGGCTTGCGGTGCAAAGTACACACGAAACGGACAGTGCCGAAACGCCTTCATGGCGCCAGTTGCGACCATCACTGCTGCCGGATCCTCGCTAACAATCTGCGTGGGTCTGGAGTCGTCGGCAGAACCGTCGGCGCTCGAGACATCTTCGCAGGTCAAAAGTAAACATGAGGCGTGAAAAGGGTGGCGACAAGCACAGAATGAGTCAGAACCACGAGATATCGCGACATTGTCGACGCTTAAGCCTACTTGATTTCACTGTGTGACTCAGACTTCCCTCAACTCAGCGGCTGAGCCGAAAGACGTGAAGTGGGCTTTTAGTCAGAAGTGGATGCCGTCCGTGGGACCCAGAACATTTCATTGGAGGCTTGTGGCAACCAACAATTCACATGGCAGACCATTACCATGTTCTAATATATGTTTATCAAATATATATTTCAGCACTTTTTTTAAAAAAATCTGAGGGGAGGACCTGCTGCTATAGGGAGAGACAGACGCCTAAGTCTAATCGATTTGAGTCTACCAAGTACGGAAACTTGCGGTCCACACACACACCTCAGAGAGATTCTGCCCTCTGGTGAATGCATTAGGACCCGAAAATGCTGACTTTTAGAGCATGCGTCGATACTCATGACGGCATCAATGTCAATTACACTTAACTAGCTTGAGTTTCGCAGAAGCAACTATGCTCATAACGGTTGGGGCAAGCCGCTAGAACACACCGATGAGATAAGTGACTTCAAGTCGAAAAATACAAAGCCCTATTTTTCACTCAAATTTCGAAGTCTCGGAAAATATGTGTGGAAGTGTGTAACGTTGATCGCGTAGATACGGCAACTCTGCTTCATTGCGCAATCGCATGTACACACTTGAAGATACAAACTCTAGGAAGAAAATTACTGGCGAACAAGGTGAAGTGCCCAATGAATTCGTGTTAACAGGACGCTTCTCGGGAACCTTTTCCAGGGCCGTCCGAGATCTACTCAACGCCCAATAGCGGAAAACGCCTGCCTTCAAGGTGGAATCCACGACGTGAGTGGTTAAAATGGACAGTAAACTAGGCTCTATCACACCCAAACAGTTGCCCACACGCCTGACAACCAACTCTGCCGTCCACAGCACAGGCAAAAAAGGTGGACGACAAAGCGTTACATCAAGTTCAAGCCAAATCCAGATTCCACGTAGTATTGCTAATCTAAACGTAGTTTACGGACGACACAAGTTGCTCGCAGCCAGTAGAAAGTAATTAACACGAAGGAGTGAGGTGTCATCTTGTGTAAAACAAATTCTCGCGCCATGCAACGCCAATTCATGCGGGATACTATTTGGACTGGTCCAACTGATTTCATTCCCTTTGTTTTGACTAAACGATAAATTAGTGCTCGACGGAGCTGTGATTCTGGATTGAGAAGAAGTAACGGATGACCTTATTGGAAATTTGCTAAGCGCTTAGGCTATGGACAGACATTTCGAATTACAACCAACCTACGGTGCACCATCGACGCTGGTCAACACAGTAAACATTTGGCCTTCAGGGCGATTGTCCAGACAATGGGCTCGAGAAGCAACAAAGAACATGTCAAGCGTGTATGACCGCCTGAGCTCCACACTTGGGTTGCAACGATTATCCCTCAAACACCTCAAACTACGATGATCCGACCAGTGGGGCGTGTCGAAATTAGGCAAACTAAACGCACGGCTTACTGGGGGTGGTGGGAGGCGGCAGCGGCAGACTGCTCTGGACGGGAGTCCCTTGCATGAATCGTTTATTGATAGACCAGAACAAGTCGAATCGATGCTGCAGCAAACCATTCCACAGATTGCGCTGGTCCTGTGGAAGAAGTCGCCCGAAAACTGGGCCCTGGCCACCCGGACCACGATGTTTCAGCTGGTCGGCCTCTTTCAAGGTGGCGAGAAAAATCGATTCAATCGCAGACCGCGAGACAGGGGGTGCTAGTAAGATGTCTGATGGGTAATCCTGGAGACAGGAGTATAAACTATAGTCAATAAATACTCTAATTGGGAAATCGATTTGTCTAAACACAGAACAACAGAATTGTGCCACAGATCGATAAACAAATGTAACGTCACTTTACACAGTGTCAAGATAACACGCAAACAAATTTAGCTTCCATAACTAGTTTTTTGAATGCTTAAGATGAACCAAAAATTTCGCATTTTCAGGAATGGATACCACAAAATATGAATCAAGGATATTAATGGATATGTATTTTGACACCCACAAAGCCTCAGATACAAATTGAGCTAGCTTTCGTTGTGAACAGGAAGTCGTATTGACTTCGTCAAGTTTCGGACGCGTTAACAAATCAATGAAATTTTTGTCCTTCTTGCATTATTCGCTACACAAAAACGAAACAGCATTTCAAAACCTGTACTTTTGGTTGGAGCCAATGGCGTAGATAACTCAATAAACAAAAAGCCGAGTTTTACTACCTAACAAATCACCACGTCTAAGTTGAGCCGCTTAACAGGAGGCGACACGGAAGATTAAAATCAAATTCTGCACAGCAATGTGGCTGAATGAAGATCAAATTCACAGTGAGGCAGGTCAACATAGACGAAAACTAAGGTTTGCTAACGGCGAGTACAGGACGATATCTGCGTGATGCGACCATAAAAATATCACACACCATGACGTGTTTTCACTGACACAGACTTGATCGCAGCGTGTATTAGTCGCAATTAGCAAGAACTAAATAAGGTAATCGAAGAGAAGGAAGAAGCTTATCCGCCACCACGAAAACACCGTGGAGCTTCAGTATTAAATTAGTTCAACTTGACAGAGCAATTTCACAACATCCGTCGTTCGGGTGGGGTCTTGCACATTCAGACTATGTTTGTGGTATAGAAAAACACTTAATGGTTGAAATTTTTAGTTTGGAACATCTGAAGGGACTACTTGGATAATGTTCCAGTTAAACTTTAAAGAGCTACACAATAAAGTGGTGTTTAAACTTCCAGAAAAAGTGTTACTTTCAATGCAAGTAGTAAATATACAACCGACAAAAAGCAATCCTAAGTTGGGAAGTGAGTTAATTGAAAACACCAAAAGGGAGGACGAATTTTGGCAAAAACTATTGTAGAAAAATTAGATACTGAGCTAACGAGACTAAATAATGCTCAAACCACATAAATATGACCACATGCAGCCTAAAAATCACATTTATACAACAATCGATACAGATAAAATATGCACTTCCGAAAACAAAATTTGAATTTATTTGTTGATAGAAAATAAGCATGGTTCATTAAGAGCTTTCTTGGTTTTACTAGGATGAAGTAAAAAATGCACGACTACAAAGTTCCTGAGAAATTGAACAAATTTCAGGCCCAGGACTTACATCAAAATGTATAGAGATTTCCCACGGAAGTCGACTAGGAGAACCAAACATGTCAAAGAGTAGTCCAACAGGATAATGCCTAAAAAACGACACGATGAATGAAATTTGCACTTTTAAATCAATTAAGTGCTAAGTAGACTACCATTTAAGTGGAATGTTATCAAAAGCTAGCCAGTAACTGGAGACTGCTTTGTTGGCGGCTTCGGTGTTGGTCTGAGAGGGCGAGTTTTCTCCAGTAAGGTCAGAATTTGAAGTATGGTGGGCCACTGAAGATGATATTGACTGAGTTTGGGAGTACAATTGTCGAACAATTTTATCTAATACAAGTGGAAAGTAGGTAACCCGCGGAACTAAGGCCTAAAAAAAGAACAAGTTAATTAGCTAACACATGGAACGCCAAAACTTTAGGAGATTGCAAGAATGACAATAATTGCTTACGAAGAATGGAGGGGGCTTGTAGACTTCCGAAGGATCCTCGTCTGCAGAAAGGCGAAAACAGATCGGGACCAAGCCATCCCAAATCTTTTGGGCTACTGCATCGTTGAGACTCATCTAGAAGAAAAAGCCCAGTAACGTAATGAGATTGTAAAAGGCTTAATTAACACCAGCAGGGCAAAACGAAGGATAACTAGGTTAAGGTACAAGTAAACGGAGGATTATTCAAACTTCAGTTGCAATAGCGGCATGAATAAATTGTTAGTTATGCAGCCATGTAGCATTCAAGAAATTTAAAGCGTAGAACAGTACATTTATTATTACCTGCAATCAACGTAGCATGGTCTGGAACGCCATACAAACCAGAACATTCATTTAGAACAAAAAAAGCAATCAACCTAATAGTATCACTAACCAAAAGCTACCGTTCAATTGCTGTCAGTGCTAAATCAGTGTGATAAATACATTGATTAACTATTAACTAAACTCACAGCAGTAAAAATTGATAAAATTAAAGTTGGGTCACTGAGAGATGTCTATGATCACGATTGGTGTCAATCTCGTTTTATAAAAACAAGCAACATTATTATCAATTAAAACATTTTGTGAGTTTTATTTAAAAACATATTTAATGGTAAAGTTATTTATCAAAAAATCTTCAAATAAAATTACGTACGAACTGTTGTGTGACAAAAAAGGCATTGTAAGGGTTAGGTCAAACGTCGTGTTTACCAGCCTTTTCTTTTAACCTATTCTTCCACTTATTGTCGTCTGCACATTAGACAAACGTAAATGCTTGATGGTTGCTGCCCCTATATTTCGGATTGGGGCTTTGGGACAAGCATCTGTTTGAGGGGTATTGTCATTAGTAAACTAAACCATATTTCTCAGACAATCCGCGCATTTTCTATTCACTATCTATTGGAGATGTGATTTATTCTCACAGTGGCTGTGTAATTTTTGACTTTATTCATAATTATTTTTGCTTAGATAAACTCTATAAAGTGGGACAAATGTGGAAAGTTCATATTATCTGGAGGTGATGACCGGTGTGTTGCAATCACAGACGTATTTTCTGATGCTCAAGAAAAAGTCCTTTTTCGGAAAGATTTACGGGCTATGAGTAATGTATTCACTGCGAAGTTTGTACCAGACTCTTCCACAGAAATGGTATTTTGCATCCATTAACGCCTAAATCTTGTGTAGATTTACGCGGGGTTTCGCTGTGGATGCGTCGTACGTGTTTCTGTGAACGGTGGAGTTGATTCAAATGAAAGTCAACTTTTTTTCTGTCACAAGATGCCTGTTTATGATGTAAGAATTTTGGTTTCACCTAAATTCTTTCCTTCGTTATATTAAAGTTGCACCCAGATTGTCCTCACACATATTTGCTCGCCTCTATTTGTTTATCAAAACAGCAATGAATGCGAAATGAGGTATATCGGACTTTTATCATTTATCCTTCACTTTATCTTCTGTTTAGATTTTGACACCCCAAGACCAGGAAAATTGCTTATTAACACTTTCTCATGATCGCACTGTTCGTTTGTGGGATACAAGGATGCCTCATTGTATCGGTCGTGACATGCAGCCATGCGGTAGAACGTGTTTCTACGGTGCCATCAATTCAGCGTCATCCGCTCACTCTAGACTCCCACTAATCGCGCCGACACTAAAGTTTGATTTTCCTGTAACTGCTGGTGATATTCATCCCATTGATGGTTCACGGTCCATTGCAGTAGCCAGTGCAGATGGTTTCGTGCGCTTGTTTGATATGCGGCTATTATTTTCTTCGTGTGAGTTCCATGTCCATGATTTTACTTTCTCCCACACTAGTTAGTACAGACGTATTCTCTTGCTATGTTCTAGTGATTTCTGTTTCACTGTCGCTTTCTTGCTTCAATTAAGTAATATGTTCTTTAAATTAAGATTTGGGAAACAACATATTCCCACGGAGTGTTGCATTACAAGTTGGGCCTAAGTTCAGATATACGGTCAAAATCGCATCCCTCGTTTACTGTGATTTTTCACCACTACCATCCTACACTAGTTATTTGCTACAAAGGAATTTGTGTTATTAACCCGCATTTGTCAGCTTCACCAGTGCAATTTTTAGTTTATCTCGTACGCGTGACTCCTCACGTTTAAGCATGTCTCGGTATTACATTTTGTTTCTTCGTCGTATATGCAGCTCTCACAGTCAACAAAAGTATATGACTTCGTCACAAACGCGAACCTTCTTGCTTTCTGATTTCCTATGAACGTGTAATTTGAGTCTGTCATGCACTGTCCCTTGGCGGTTCACTCGCCTTTAAAATACAGGCAACATAAGTCTTCATCGTTTCCAGTAGTTAGAATTTCCCTTTATTGTCTCTCAGTTCCTATTGACTCTTGAGTCTCTCCCGCTCCATGTCACAACATGGTCGAAGACACAAATTTCGTTGGTAGAAAGTCATTAGGCCTACTTGCCTTCACAAATGATATCATGGAAAGTAGGTTTTGAATAACGTGACTGCGATAGATTGACGCGATTGTACGTGTGGCCTTTGTTTCTTAATGCAACTGGTACGTAGAGCGGTAACCACGTGGTTCAATTACTCCCTTTTTATCGGGCTCTGGCTGGGGTTGTTGAATAACAGTAAATTTTAACTTCTGGGAGCCAATTAATTGCAATGTTTCTTGCTTGGCGTAATTGTGTTATACATTCGCGACTTGTCAAGTCGAAACTTGAGGTGTATCTTAGGGCGTGGCAATCTTGTGACACCCGTTCTGCCATCTTTGATCTGTTACTTATTTTGCATTGGCCTTTCTCTTGACCCCAGTAACCTTCGGATTCCAAAAATTGTGAACTAGACCGATAAACTGCCGCCATTCGTTAATAAAATTGAACTGTTAGGAGTTCATTCTCGGCAACTTTTGTTCCGCCTCAGAGCATCACACGTATTAGTAGTTTTAAAAGGTTTCATACGAAGATAAAAAAGGTTATCCGTTTTTATCAGCAATGGACTCCCTCGCCATTGGTTCCAAGCAAATGACACCCCATCCATACCAGATCGTTCGTCCACTTGGTCTTGTTAGTCGATCGAACGTCTCACGTGAGATCCGCCTTGACTATGGACCGCTCTTCATAACTTCTGTTCGATTTGAACCTCCCCACTCACCCTTCCCGATGACCTTCAGGAGGAAGTGGCGTCGCCTCAAGCCGCAGTATCCCGGTCGCCGACTTCTCGTCAGTCACATGTACTCGTCCGTCTTCCTCTTCGATTTAGACAGACTTGAAGAAAAAGTCGAAGAGTTTTCAAGTGCTACCGATCAAGTTACGCAAGTATGTTTATTGATTAACTGACAGATCATTCTGGAAATGATTATGTTGATCCTTTAAGAAGTCAATATTAACAGTCCCTCTGTTTGTTGTGCAGTTTGACACTTCGCATACAGAGAGGATAGATGAAACCAACCTTCCTGTTCCGGAGACTGCTGAAACTCCTGTGGGGGAGACTACACGTAAGCTTTTGTTCACTAAAGCCTTTATCTGTCAGCGATGTGAAGAGACCCTCTCTATCGAGACGAATTCTAGCACGTGTTTGTGTCAGTAACTATGAATTCATAACATTGCCTGGTAAATGCATGCAGTCTTGTTCACTGAACGTCTTATTGACTTCTAATTCAGGTGACGCTGTCAATCCGAATGCAGTTTTCGCAATGATTCTCATTGGGTAAGTTGGTATTTGCATTGGCCAGTTTCGTGCATTAGCGGTCTCCATAGATCCACTTCGCTTTTTGAAATAACCCCTTGCGGGGCACGGTCCTAGTTAAATTTAAGGGTGCCCGCGCCTTTGCCATTGAAGTCTAGTCTTCTGTTGAAACGATCTGCTAGTGGACATCATCTGGAGGTGGCCCTATAGATCGGGGCAGGTTCTAATTTGTGCAGTTACACTTTCATGTGCCGGCTGGGACGCAAGCCTAGAGTGGAGTCAGAGTTGGCTTTTGTGTTGTGCATTGCTTGCCGGTGACACCACGCAAGTCGGTGCAGCTGCCCAAATTTAACCTGGCTCTTTTTTGTCCAGCCGTGTCTGGTTGTAATGGCCGGATAAATCAATCCGGGCCGTTACCTCTGTGTGGCGGGCTCCAAGTTGCTAGCTGTGATGCACAATAAAAAAAGTCTTATTTGGGACAGTGGGATGTTTTTTACCTATGGCGGTTTCCCTGAATGTAACCATGCATGTTGCTCTTTGCTTCAGCATGTTTTCGGTAACGTGAAACTTTTATCGTTGTTTGTTAGAATGATGGCGAGGCGTCGCGCAATGTTATTGGAGCAAAATCGTTTGGAATCCGGACAAGCGATTTCGGAGGGCGTTGTTGAAGTGGAATCTGCCAACGAGACTGAAAATAACCGTAGCAATAATGGGCCTTCTAGTCCTACTAATGGTATATTTTCCTATCTTTCAAAGGGACTCTCCACGTCTGTGGGGGAACCTCAGATACACGGCAGCTGATTGCACCACTTAAAGTCTCTCTAGACTGCACGCTCTTTTGTATTGTAGCACAAAGTGAAGGTGGAGATAGGATCGCACCATTCGACTTTGCTTCTGATGAAATGATTGCTCGTGTATTATCTTCCTGCCCTCGGGCACGACAAATATCTTCGTACGCTGGGCAGCGTTCGATTCGCACTGTGGTAAGCGAAATGAATATTTAAATATACCATTTTTGGGTTTCAAGTCTCCAAGCTCACTACCACCAGGACGTGATTTTGTACAAAGTGTCAGCGCAAAAACCGCGTCTACTGATTTAGTCAGTTTGTGTGATGTATGTGATGTCAGTTTCAGGCTTTTGAACACTTACCCGGTCCTAACCCGGAAACTGCCCCCACCCTTGTGCAGAACCATGGGAACTGACACACGTGGAGATAATTTTTCAGGTACAGTTTCCCTTGTACGCTCTCAAAAGTAGGATGGGTGGAGATATTTAATTGCATAGTGGGCGATGGCCTTCTGAAAATGGGCATCTAGTTCACGTAGTTGATCAGTCTGATGCCCGCTGACGTGACATTGCGGTCTTTCGGGGTGTACCGCTACGACTTCACCACCACTTTAGCAGTCAACTAGCCCAAATCAACTAATGTAGTGACTTGTTGTGGCAATTAACCAGTGTCACATGGCTTCATAGCCACCACGACATTGTCTCATGTTTCCAGATTAAGGATTCGTGTTTTTGGGGCGATGGATACATCATGAGTGGATCGGAGTGCGGTCATGTCCTGGCGTGGGACCGGTTCACTGGTGAGCCTGTTAACGCCATTAAAGCCGATTCTTCTGTCGTGAATCGTCTCGAGGCCCACCCTTTTCTCCCTTGTGAGTTTATCCTAAATTCTCATACTTGCCCTTCATGTAATTGTCACTTTTAATTACTGTGTCAGCCTGTACTATTTCGTTTTCCAACGAATTTAACGCTTGAAGCACGCTATGTTGAAGCAAATATTGTTTAAACTGGCTCCAGTAGGCACCGGGGTTCTTCAGCGCGTCTGTCATCCCTCCGCCAACAAGTTTTTTTTGTGCGAGCCAGAGGCACACCAGCACGAAAGTAGCTTCTTAACTTTCTTTTGCGTTTCTACTAATCAATACTTCCCACACAACACCTCCTTCACTATTTCTCAATTTCAGATCTGGCTGTTAGCGGCGTGGATCACAGCTTTAAAGTTATCCAACCGGCACCACTGCCGATCGATGAAATGGACGAAAGCCTTGCCGAGCAGATTCGCAGGCGAAAGGCTGAGGCCGTGCAGGTATTCTTGCCCATTATTAACACGTGACCCTTGACGCCCACGCTTGGTCGTTCCTTTCAAATTCACTTCAGTTAATTATAACTATTTTTCCTTGGTGTTCCGCATTTTTAGCTAACCAAACACAAAGGGTCTAACTTTGTGACTATGCCTACTTGAGAACACATATTATCACCTGACATAGCCCCAGGCGTTGGTGGGCTTGACGCATTTTAATCACAAAGAACATGTTGCTCTTACCCGTAACAAACTCTTACCTAGCCCAGTGCACATCTAGTACGCAGTTGTTGAATCGCATCGCACATCTGGTGTAGTCCTGTTTTTGTTTCTACCCCAAGGACACACCGACATAGGGCTAGGATCTTAACATTAACAAACATTTTTCTTTCAGCTGGTGGAAAGTAACCTGGTGAGAACTCAGCAGGCCGTCGAAAACACCGCCTCCTTACGTGAACAGCTGGCGAGCTTTCGAATCGGTCGAAGTGAGTTGAATCGTTGTGAAAGTCTGTCTCAGCATTTGCACGCAGTCTCATTTCCGCTGTCTGACAAATCTGTCACCACATATGCGTTCTATCTTTAATGGGAGTGCGATTCACACGGCCTAGGCGACATTTGGCCGTAGAAATAATTTCAATTTGCTTAATTTATGTGATTTAGGTCGACATTAGTAGGGCACGATTGGGTAAATCTACAGCTTGGGCAATTAATGTTTGATGGCGCATACATAGTGGCGGGTGCAGGCTGCTAGTGTTCTAATCTCAGGTGCAGCATTTGTGGTGTGGAATGCAAATCAAGTAAAGAGACCCACAATTTATTCCGTTGGGCCCTCACTACTTCATCCTGACTGCAGTCAAATTGTGACCAGAACAACTCGGGGCCTTATCCTCATTGGTTTCTTGGTGTTTGTCCTTCAGTGGCGAGATTACTTCTGAGTCAATTGGCCGAAAGGAGAAGTGGGTCTGTTCAGCGGAACGAAGAGGACGAGACTGACGATGCACCATGACACCACGTCTTTCTTACTGACTGCCTCAGCCACACAGTCAACACTAGCCTGCACTGTGTCTAGTTAGGAGACACTGAACGTCAAATACTTGTACTTTATTACAAACTGATTACTTATTTAATGCTTAATAACTACCAACACACACACACGCACACCTAGAGTGATAGACAGTGCATTGTGAAACGACGTATTGTAAAGCTTGATTGATAAATGGTGTGTGCGTCCCCTCACCATCCCGTGAATGACACGGTCGGTACTAACATTTAGCCAGTTGGCATTTGAACTGGGTGTGACTTTATATATGGCCATTTGAAGGAGGGTGTCACCTCAATGCATTAAACCATGTGATTTGTTATCACACCTCTAACGACTGCCGTTGTATTCTTGATCCACACAACCCACGACTGGGCTATGATGGAAGCGGCGAGCAGGTAGCCTCCTGATTAGGGCATGAGTGTTTGTTTTGAATATGAAAACTTCTGTTTGGAAGCAGTGCATTCTTCCTGCCCAACTCAGTACTTTTCATCATCCACAAATCAGAGTATTGAATTTGGCGCAATGCGTAGAATGTGAGTGTTTCAGGATGGCTGAAATCCTTTTGCAGGAAGCACATTGTCACAATATAGGATGATGCAGTGTCGACAGAGATGAAGACGAGCTGTCACGATGAATATTGGGGGGAAGGGATGACTGGCATGTTGCCAGTAAGTAACGTTCAGTCTCCAGTCACGATGAGGACCATGGATTGAAGTAATACCGAACTAGTGTTTTTCCAGTACTTAGGCATGAATTGTCATTGTGGAATTGTTAGGTGCCGCGGTGGCTGAAACTTATGTCTGTAGCGGAACTCTAGCACTTCTTGACTCTGAGGCGAGTCTAACTTTCATTGATAAATATTCATTTTTGCCTGTGGTATGTATGGTGATGAGTAGTACATACAGCAAGTGCTACCTATGGCCACTTTCTTAAACATCGATAGGAGGAGAAAGGTAGGTATCGTCTTAGGAGACCAAGACAGCGTTATGATGCCTAATTTTCGTCGAAGGTATGATGGAGAAATGTACCCTACTTGACCGGGATGCGTCTGGGTAAGACGACTGGATAAAGATGATCCTAGTGTTGCCAGTGAGGTGGCCGAAGTTGGTACACTGATTGTCCGGGCTCTCATGTTCATGATTCTTTTATTAACACAAGAGCCTGGCGTAGGTTTTCGCAGATAGGTTGGGGCGGGGTTTCATTAACATCGGCTAATGCGAAGCTGCACCACCGAGGTGAAATATCAGGATTCTTCCGTTAAGTACAATTCGCTGAGATGAGCAAAATTTGGGATTTTTGATTGGTGAATGTTTTGCCGCAGAAATGGGTGTTTGGGGCTTAAAGCAGGGAACTAGAATGTTAATTGTTCGTTTGATCCCGAAAAAAGTGTTTACGTAGCTTGAGGGAGTTCTATTTTATCAGGAGCCTTTCCGGCTGTCTGGTGGTTTCTCGGTGAAGGGGTACATCCATACTGGAACAGTCACATCTTCATAACTGGTTGACAGTGGCTCAATGAATGGAACATGTTCATGCGTGGGAACAGCGTAGAATTTTATTCAATCATTCGTAGGTTTAAAGTTCGTCTGAGAGTGAATTTGGGGCTAAGGAGTCCTCGAAGAGCCCACACGATAAGTTATAAAGATTCCATGACGACAAGGACAGTTAGGGCAATCAATAAAGCGGTTGAGAGCCTTGAGCAACAGTGTGCTGTTGATATGATGCAGCAGAGTAGGAAATTGCAAAAATTCCATGTAGATTCCAGGAGATGTGTGAAGCTAATGATGGCTCGGATGGATAGATCATGGCGAAGCTAAGAGAAATGAGGTGATTGTGTGTGTTTGCTACCTGTACACTGTCTTCGACGCAGAAGGCCAAAGTAATAATAGCAGTTCTGGTTTGGGTTCATCGTAGCACCACCACCACCACCACTTATCTTGCATATTTCAACTAGTGCCATCTCATACTCAGTCGTCTTGTCATTTGTTTCAAGCTTATTCTATTGCCTTCTCATAGACCAGTTCCGATAAAATAATCATGACATCATCCTCTTGCCACTACACATTTTGTGTGCAATTTGTCAGTGTCTTCAGTTTTTTTAAGGTGCCTGATTGGGACCCATAGTTTGCCTGCGTGATTTCAAATATTATCAAGGCCAGTCCACCTTGACTGTGGGAGTGCGCTCTGTGATATACGGTTTTCAATGTCCATGGCCTATGAAGGCATGTGGTATGCATTTACGTATACGAAATATCCGTTAAAAGTGCTTTACGAGCATTTAAGAACCATGAGAAATCTTGACACCAATTTAATGTGTCCTAGTTTCAGAGATGCGAGAATGATGTTTGCTTCCTTATATGATGGAAGAACCACTCAAGAAAAAGGTCATAGTGCTTGCAGAGAACCCTACAGATAATTGTACTGACATGCATCGTGATTGTGAGGCATGAAACAAACTACCACAACACGGGAACACGGACAC